TGTATTAAAAACCATTTAGTGTTTCTGCTTTTCTATTTTAGACAACTTTTTTTTTGACAACTTTATTTGTTGTGCTTATTCAGAGGAACAGTGCCTCTAAGATTTTAACGTACCCAAGTCTTCACGAAATCTTAAGATGCAGAATCTGCATTGGTAACAAGCCCCCAGGTGCCACTCAGTGGCGCAACGGCGGCAGGTGACGGCAGAGGCCAGGGCCATACTCGCCAGGCGTTTTCATGCCGTGCCCAGCCAGGTTTGCAGACTTTCTGGAATATCTGTTTAGAAGTCTGAATGGTCCCGTATGAGGTGGGGGCCCTGAGCTAGCCCCCTCTCGTGCTGCAGTGAGTGCCTTTGGCAGGAAGACCGCTCCTCTCATGGGTTCTTTTTTTACAGTTTTTCCCTCAGTCGTGCCGCACAGCTGCCCTCCTGGAAGACGCCTTTTAAGTTGGTGTTAACGGCATGTGACTCGGGATTTATAGTCGTCACGTTGCTTCCTTTCCCAGGCCGCCAGCGCTCCTACCTGGCCATGCTGTGACCTGGCCAGCGCCGTCCTTAACCAGAGGGTCCTCAGAGCCCCCCTCCCCGGAAGAGGAACTCAGGCCACCCCCCTCACAAGCCCTCTTTCTCTGAAGAACGTTCCCCAGCAATGGGCCGATACTTGATTAACAGGTAACAGGACTACCTGGCTCAAATGTTCTCCAGCGGACGGCAAGGCGGCCTCAGGCTCTGATGAGTTATGGAGGCAGCTGGAGGGAGAGGCCCAAGGGAGAGGCCGGCCGTTCAGGCCTGAACCGGAAATGTCAGAAACAATTCGGCAGCATGGGCTGTCAACAGTTTTATTTTTTGCTGTTGGGGGAATGAAGGGGACAGGACAGAGTAACGAGGAGGGAAGACTCTCCAGTGTCACCTGCTCCCGCATCAGCAGGGCAGGGCCTGTGGGAACGGAGTGGGTTATGTGCACTAGGGGACCACCCCAAAATGGGCCAGCTGGGTGAAGACCACAGAAATTGTAGCAGGGGAGTTTTTAAGTTAAAAACAAGGGAGGAAAAAACACAAAGAAAACGAATAGCTTTGCATCTGGTGTGTTTCCTGTGTCCACTGAGGTTTGCCTGGGGGAAACGGAGGGCAAATAGTGACCTCTGCTGTCACTGGGCTGGCCCAAGCTCAGGCCCCTGGGGCAGCTACTCCAGGGGCGGGGGGAACAGACACCTCCCAGGCGGGGCCCCTGCTCGGGGACAGAGCGGCTGCGAGAGGCTGTCGGCTCGGCTGGTGTCCATCTCTGATGAAGAGGCAAGGCTGACTAGAGAGAAGGCCAGGCTGGGGCACCGAGCCAGGCCGAGCAGCTAGTGTGGCCCTGTGGGGCCCGCGGCTGGGCGGGGCTCCCCCAGACCCGTGTACGCGGGGAGAGCTGGAGAGGCTTCAGGGCAGCTCTGCGGACTCGGGGCTGGCAAAGGGCTGAACCTGCCCCTTGTGGTGGAGGGTGAAAGGGCAGGGCCTCAAGGTCTTCTAGAACAGTCCGCCAAGTGGTCGCTGCCTCTCCATATAGGCACAGCCTCCCTGACTCCTTGTCAAAGGCCCAGGCTGGAGCGGTGTCTGGGACGCACGTCGCTAGGGCGCCTTTGGTGGTGGGTGACCTTCGTCCCCTACCCTCGGTCTCCTCCTCCCCTACCTTTAGAAAGCTCATGTCAAGGACAAGCAAAAGAAGCCTCTTTGACAAAAATCTTTCATTCTTAGACCCCTCCCCACTCCACAGGCCAAAATAGTTTAAAATGAAGTCTTTAAAAAAAAAAAATGGACCAACTTCCTAAATTCATCTTGTAAATGCTGAAAACCAAACAGCCCCAAATTCAAGAACACTAGCCTGATTTTAAGACCCAGGAAAGACCCTGGTGTCATGTGTCACCCATCAGCCGTCCCCCTGAACTTGGCAGGACATCCGAGGCACACGGGCGGTGGGGAGCTCTGTGGGCAGTTTCTAGATGCCAGTGGCCTTGCTCCTCAGAAAGGCTTTCCTCTGCCAGGGACTCACCAGGGAGCCGAGCAGGCTGCGAACCTGGGGCGGCTCATCAGAGAGCGGCAAATGACAGACACCAGGAGGGGAAAAGGGCATGTTCAGTTCAGGCGCTGGAGACGCTCTGAACACCTCGTGCTTCATTCCCCATTTGCCTCATCCGCAGGAGGCAGGGACCCCTTAACGGTTAGTTGATTTAGAGGTTGCGTTCATCGTAGCCCCTGACAAAATCATGGTCTTACAACTGAATCCAGCCAAGGAAATTGGTTAGCACAGTATTTAGTACTAAATTCAGTTAAATCTAGGACTCGGGAGAAAGGGGAGTGTTCTGCTCTCTCCCCAGCTGTTTCATAAATTCCTCCATCCTGTGCGACTGTCAGATTCTTTCTAGCTCTGCTAAGTAAAGCTGTGCTCGGCCTCCCCGGCACCCCTTCCCTGGGGGGATGTGAGCAGCTCCACATCCATGTGCAAGTGGGGACGGTGGCAGATGGCTCAGTAATGCAGGGAAGGGGCAACCAGAGCCACACGGGTGTCTACACATATGCACACATGTATACAGAAACAAAGTATTTTAATTCTCTTTTTTACACGGCCCCAGGCCGCCTCCTGTCAGGAGCACTCCGGCAGGCCCCCCTCTTGCAGCTGCGAGGGGCTGGCTGTGGCGACGGCCCTCAGCACGGTCGTGCCGGCCAGCTGACCTTCTGCACAGACCGCTGTGCGGGCCGGTGAGCAGCCCCTGCCTCTGCAGCTGACCGAACCCCGCTCCAGACGCGGCGTGTCCCAGCTGGCAGAAGCCTCCAACCAGCAATCATGCAGCTTACAGCTACTCCGGATTTTTAGAAAATATTTATACAGAGCGAGCACAATCAATGTGCTTATTACGCACTCTAACGTAGAGTACAGGAATACACACCACGGAGCACAGCCCCAGCCGGCTCCAGAGCGGGCAAAGTGTGAAGGTCAAAGGTCAGCACGCAGCCAGGCGGCGGGAAGACACGGAGCACGCCGGCCACGCCTTTCCACGTGACCTGTCCCACACCGAGAACTCGTCCTTTGTCCCGTTGGTGGTAGGAGCAGTAACCGAAACTACGGCATTTTCTATGGGCAGAGGATGTCAGACCATCTGTTACGGAGAGAGTGAGGATGATGGGACCCAGAGATTATCTAGAACTAACTGCCGAAGGTCAGGATGGCTCAGGACCCCCAGGCAGAGGTCTGTTCTCTGGTGGCTGGGACTGGCTTTGGGGGCCGAGGACGGCTGACACGGAATCTCTCAGACACACACATTCTCCCCCTCACACGCCCCGGGTTGGGGGGGGGGGTGCATGGGAGTGCACTTCCAAGAGCGGACACAAAAATAGATTGGCGCACTCTCTTGACACAGTAAGGGTATCTTTTAAAAGCTCCTCCCCAGCTGCTGCAAATTCTCTTCCCCACTCTGCTCTAGAACTTTGCACTCCTAAGCTGGATCAGGTCTGGAGGGGAGGCCCCGGACCACGCTCGCGAGGTTCGTATGTACCCAGGAAGAACACCAGCGTGGGGACAGCTGGGAAGTCTTGCCTGGGGAAAGCCAAAAGGCCTTCTGCCACCTTCCACACAGGTCTCCCCTTCCCCTGCTGCATAATAAACCGCTCACGGCTCATGCCGGCTCACCAGACCAGGACTCCCTGAAAAGTTTCCGGTACTGCTTCTACTCAAAAACACGTTGAGAGGAAAAAAGGTTGGTATGTCAAGTTCTGTTTTTGCATTTCCAGTAGTAAGTGCTATTCCACAAGCTCCGAGGAAGTGGTCCGTAGCCCTCCTTTGGGCCTGTGCTAGGAGCTCTGGATTAGGCGTCTGTAATGGGGCATGACTTCATGCTCCGGCAGATGAAGAGCAAACTCCAAGGCCACTAACACTGGGAATTCAAAGGCAATCAGTTCTCGTCTATTTAGCCGGAACTTCTCTTCCAGTTTCTGCAACAGAATGAAAGGAATTAAGAGCATTTTAGCTTTGAAATCAAAATCTGAGGCTTTCTCCATGTGTACGCTCTCTATCCACCTGGCAATGACTGTTTACGGAAAAACCCCTTGAGGGCAAGACTGCGGAGGAAGAAAGGGGGGCATCCTAGTGGAGAAGGAACTGAACCACCCCAAGGACGCACGGTCTGCCAGGAGCCTGACATACAGCCCATGACTTCATTTAATCTCTCAATAATCATGCAAGGTCAATGCTATATTTATGTCCACTTTACAGAGGTGAGAAAACAGGGTCAAGAGGGTAAGAAGTTTGTCTAAGGGGACACGCACAGTAAACTGCAACGCTGAACTCCAAACTCAACCAGGATTCAAACTCCACCTGTTACCGTAGATGATTCAGGTGTGGAGGGAAGACGAGAAAGATCACAAATCCTCTACAATAGTAGTAACTACGTGGTAGGTTTAGGATTGGGGCAGCTGACGATGCAGCTTGGGGCTTTCATCTCACACGCGAGGACCCAGACCTGCTGCAATCACCCGCCTTTCAGGCCGTCGTCCGGCTGGGGGGCCTGTGGGTGCGAAGGGCCTGAGCATGCAGCTGTGCTCAGCTCACACCCGGGGCCTCCCCTCCTGCACAGCCTCTCGTTCCACCCAGCGGTGGGGGCTGCGGGAGCAGAAAGGAAGGAGAACGGGGCAGGGGGGTAGGGAAGGCCTTGTTTTTGCCAGGGTGCATTCTGCTTTGGCTTAATAAAAACAACAAGGACCAAAAAACTCACCGGCAGAGCCGTCAGTGGCCACGTTCCAATTACAACTGGAGGAGACCTTGCATCAGCCTCATGGCTCCTGCCAATGTCAGACCACGGCCTGCAGGCTCCGCGTGGCCACTATAGACTTTCGCCGGATGGTCCATTACTCGACACCAATAAATGTGCGCAACACCACACTTGTAAAGATTAGTTCAGTGAATATCTATGTAAATCTGTTGATTCTCAGCTCTGATTTGGTAACCAAAGATCCCTTCCATGTTCCTAAAAGTATATACTATACAAGTTAGACGATTATGCGCCATTTCTTAAAAGCAGTAAAGCACTGACTTAAAGAACACTTTCTTCCATCTATGGACGAATGGATAAGCAAACTGTGGCATATACATCCAGTGAGGTATTATTCAGCCTTAAAAAGGAAGGAAATTCTGACACCTGTTACAACATGGATGGATCTTGAAGACATAATGCTAAGAGAAATAAGCCCGTCACAAAAGACAAATAGTATGTGATTCCACTTACGCGAGATCGCTCGAGTCAGGTTCAGAGACAGAAAGCAGAACGGTGGTGGCCAAGGCCTGGGAGGGGAGGGGGAGTGAGTGCTTAATGGGGACAGAGTTTCAGTTCTGCCAGAAGAAAAAGTTCTGGAGACAGATGGTGGTGATGGCCACACAAGAGTATGAGTGCGCTTGATACCACTGAACTGTATACTTAATAAAAACGGTAAATTAAAGCAAAAAAGAATACTCTTTCTTATGTGGGAAGTACCTCCAATAGCTCCCTTTCTGCTTTTTCTCCTTTGCCACTGAGCCAGCCGCACAACTAGACACACAGGGCGCTGTCGTAGCCACGACTTGTAGTTGCTGGATTCTAACACTTCGCAGTCTGGGGCCTCGCTGACCCTGGAGGCTCAGCCCCTTCTAGGTAGGGTTAGCCAGCTCCTAGAGAGGGTGCACACCTTCAATGTGCAAACCAACCAATCTGAGGCCCACACCTCCACCATCTCCTCCATCCACCTCTCTCTCCACCTGCCCTCAGCACCCAGGGCCAGGAAGACAAGTAGGGACAGCGCCCCTGCCTCAGAGTCCACTCAAATGACTAGCTAGCCAGTCCGAAGCCTGCGTACCCTGCCTGTTCCTTCCCGTGGAACCCACAATAAAGACTCCTGCCCACAGTTCCCCCTTCTCCTTCTGCCTCCTGACCAACCATGGTACTTCCCCACATGACCCCCATGGTATGGTGTCCCACCCCACCCCAATACGTATGTGGACACCCTATCCTCCAACGTGCTGATATTAAGTGGGGGGCTTCGGGAGGTTGAGGAGCTGATGAGTGCAGTCCTCAGGGTGTGATTAGTGCCCTTGCAAGAAGAGAGCAGAGAGCTTGCTTGTTCGCTTTCCCTGCCATGTGGGGACATAGTGAAAAGGAGGCCTTCACAAGCCAAAGAGGGGGCGCTCACCAGGACCTAAGCCGTTAGCACCTTGATCTTGGGACTCCCTAGCCTCCAGAACCGTGAGAAGTAAGTGTCTGTGGTTTAAGCCGCCCTGTCTATGGGATTTTGCTATGGCAGACCAAGCTACGCCACTTCTCTTGGGAACTGTGATAAGAAGCTATCTTTTCAATGGCAACGGTCTTCTGACCTGTTGGTTTTACCGTTTCTCAAATTTTCTATGAATACACTATTTTAAAACAGGCATTCACATAGCCACCCAAGATTGGGGTTTCCTTGCTTTGAGGGGGCTCTCCTTTAAAAGGAGGAGGTACCCCTCAATTAAACCCATGCCCTTCCTCAAAGAGGAGGCAACTCAGGCCACAGGAAGCCAAGGTCTGTTGAGCCAAAGTGTCTGACGGACACTCTGGGGTCACACCGCCCCCCAGTCCCCTTCCCGTTACAGTGGCTTCTGTGGTTTGAGAATAATTTGACCCCTCATGGTGTCTGGAAATGGATTTTTATGGCCAGACCCAATACTGGGGATCTTCGGTCTTGTCAAAGGGGATCATCCCTCTGTTCCAAGACAGCCTGAGCTGTGGGGGGCCCGACCTCCACTGCAGGATGACCTCACAGCCCCGGTCTCTCAGTGGCTGCTAACAATCAGAATTCTCCCGGGTAGGATCACCACCCAGGCTCTTCCCGTGTGCTCCCTCAGCCAACAGGCCTCACGTCACTCACGTCAATTAAATGCTTGACTTCGTGCTTTCGGAGGTCACTTCCGATTTTGGCTGCTAACAGTACACATGCTCCAGCACAAAGCTTCCGGTTCTGTTTGTTTAGCTTTCCCTTGAGGGCGAGCTTCTCAAAATAGACAAAGGCCATGGCCACTGTGGGCTCCTCGAAGCCACAGTCCTCCTGGGCAAGCTTCCGCATCTCTCGCTTCAGACTGGAGAAAGACAGGAAGGAACATTATCAGAACTTGGGAGTTTCAGGACTCCAAAGAGAAAGACTAGTCGATCCCGAAAGCATTTCCTTTTCCTCATTCCCAGAACGGTGACGTGGAATGGGACTAAATCCTGAGGCGTAAGAAATTTCCATTCTATGTGGGCAACAGACTTAAGCTGCTGGGGCTCTTCTCTCTTGGTGGAACTGTAGACCACGTCAGCAAGGGACACAGAAAACCACACTGAACCCAGGTGGTGTCTGAGGGTCTCTGGAACCTAGGTGTAGAGCTGTCCAAAGGGAAAGAGGGAAACCATGAGGGGAACTATGATCATTCCAGACAGACACCTAGAGAAATAAACAAGGTCCTTGGTACCAACTCCGAGGATCCGCCATGTTCAAAAACTATGGCGGAAGAGGGATCAGGCTAACAGCACAACAACCAGTGTACTTAGGAATGCTACCCAACAAATGGACAAAGTGTGAATACTTCATTTTTCTCATGCCTTTGGCTTGGAACATGCCAGAATCAAATCAGTATTGGGCTACACAGCATGTAAATACTGGCACATACTCCCACGCTGTGTTGGCATATATTCTAGCCTCCGTCATTATGTGCACTGAGAGTCTGTCCTGATAGAGGCAACCCCAGGCAGCTCCTCTCCGGCCCGGCAGATTCGGGTCACCACAAAGTCAATCCAATCAGCTGCAGGGGAAACATGGGCCTGACTTTGCTTTGGCTGTCAACTCTCGGGTGGATGACTGTGGGCAGAGGATGATCTCAAATGCCATTAAACCAACTCTTTTCTGTTTTGTCTACATTTGAGAAAGCAGGGAACTGAATGTTTCCTATTCTGAGTTTTCTGTAACCTAACCCTGACTGAACTGCTAAGCCTCAGACAGTAGGAAATTCTGATTCTTTCACTTAAGGAAACTCCCCCCACACCCATGTCACCTCGCGTCAAAAGCTCCGCCTTCTGTCCTGCTTCCTTGGCTCTCACTCACGGAGGCAGGAGTCAGCCAGCAGCGGGTGAGCCGCTCCTTGCTGCACGCACCTGTGTTTTACTTCCCTGAACTACACGAGGAACCAGCATACAAAGCGGGAGCTTATTAATGCATGCCAGGAGAGGGCTTGAATGGAAAGTTCAAGTGGATGTCGAGCCTCACGTACCTCCTTATTTTGCTGAGTGTTAACTTAATGTGAGGAAACTTCTCCTTGAAGGTCTCATTCATGTCCTTCTTGAGATCTGAGGGCTTCACGTAGTCGATTACTGTGGTCTGTAACAGGTTGGGCAACTCAGGTCACTCTTTAAAATTTTTTTAAAGATTTTATTTATTTATTTGAAAGAGAGACAGAGCCCCAATGGGGAGGGGAGGGCAGAGGGAGAGGGAGAAGCAGACTCCCCACTGAGTAGGGAGCCTCACACGGGGCTTGATCCCAGGACCCTGAGATCATGACCTGAGCCGGGCTCCCTGCTCAGCGGGGAGCCTGCTTCTCCCTCTGCTGCTCCCCCTGCTTGTGCGTGTGCTGACAAAATCTTTAAAAAAAATAAAAATAAATAAAATAAGGGTCATGGGTAACAATTATGTGCACATTATGGCCAACTTACACCACTTCTGACAGCACCAAGCAGTGAGGAAGCCCGGAGGAGAAGCACGGCAAGGGCCCCCCTGAGCCCGAGCACCTGCAGGGACACAAATCCCCGTTCCAGCAGGCGACTTCGGGGAGCAGCAGCCTCCACACAGCCAGCAATCAGGGTCTGGCAGGGAGGGAGCCCCTCTTTCAGTTCCTGGGCCTCAGCCTGTTACTTAGCAGCGTTTAGGGCACGGCCGGTAGACCCGCACACACGAGGCTTCAAGCCACACTTGACCGTCGCTAGTCGTCCGGCTGTGGGACATTTCTCACCACCCCAAACATCAGGTTCTACATCTGTAAGATGAAAACAGCTAACAGTGCCTACTTCACATGGCTATTATAAGAACTACGGGGGAAGTCAAGGGCTCAGTGCAGCGCTTGGCATACAGCAAGCACTTAATAAATGTTAACTGTTTTGGGCACCTGGGTGGCTCAGTTGGTTAAGCGACTGCCTTCAGCTCAGGTCATGATCCCAGGGTCCTGGGACCAAGTCCCGCATCGGGCTCCCTGCTCAGTGGGGAGTCTGCTTCTCCCTCTGACCCTCCCCCCTCTCGCGCTCTTTCTCATTCTCTCTCTCAAATAAATAAAATCTTTATAAATAAATAAATGTTAGCTATTTTTTCGTTGTGGGAAAATATACATCACATACAACTTACCATTTTAACCATTTTAAAGCATGCGGTTCAGTGGCATTAAGTACATTCACGCTGGTGTGTGGCCATCACACCACGCATATCCGGAACTCTCATCATCTTGCAAAACCAAAACTCTGTCCCCCAAAACTCCCTATTCCCCCGCCCCACCCCAGTTTCCACTGGCAACTGCCATTCTGCTTTCTGTCTCTGAACCTGACTTCTCTAGGACCCTCATACAAGTGGAATCATACAGTGTTTGTTCTTCCGTGGCTGGCCTGTCTCCCTCAGCATTACGTTCTCCAGGTTCAACCACAGTGCAGCTCGGGTCAGAATTCCTTTCCTTTTTAAGGCTGGGTAACCTTCCATTGCGTGTATATGATGTCAGCTAGTAGTAACAGTCCTTTAAACGTTCGGTTTCTTCCTCTTCCCCTCCCCTTCTTCTTTCTTTAGCAGGCTCTTTGCCCAACGTGGGGCTTGAACTCACAAGCCTGAGATCAAGAGCTGCATGTTCTCCAGACCGCGCCAATCAGGCGCCCCTCCCCTCCCCCTTTCTAATCCTATCCATCTTTAAAGACTGGTTCCTTCGAGCCCCGTCTGAGCACCCGGGTCTTCCTGACTCATTTGTGCTATTCGGTATTAACTCTGAATGAAACACAGTCTCTGGCTGGGTCTCACCATGTTAGCCTCACTCCTCCTCCTCGGGATTCTGCTTTCAAAGGGCAGCAACAATGCCTGATGCCTCTCTGGCTGGCTGCTGGCAATAGCCTTCACCAGGCAGAGCCCGGGAAAGGAGCAGGTACGGATTCTGCTGAGAAGGCCCGTTCCTGGGGATGGCTTCTGCGGCCTGGCCTCTCCCGAGGGACGCGTCCCCACGTTCCTCCATGGCTCTACACCAGCGGGCAGCTAGCTGTAAACACCTCCATTCAGAAGACGCTTGGCTGGACAGGATTTTAGAAGTGGCACGTGGGAGGCCTCCGGTGTCCGTTAACAACCGAGAGGAGACACAGCCAGCATGTCCCAATTCACACTGATCTAAACAGCACCTTCGTAACAGCAGCTTTGGCGAGTAAAAGCGAAACCATGGCAAGATGAACTCAAAACGGTTCCACCAAACTTGTTCAGAACCTTCTCAAATTCTGGGTGGAAGCAGACTTGGTGTGATGCCAAGAGTTCTTCCGTGGCGCCATGTCTTTCTGGCCCGATCCAGAAGGCTCTCCCTCAGCTGGCCCAGGACACGGCCGTTCTGGGAGCGGCCCTGTGCATGCACCTGTGATGTGCTGGCAAGGAGCAAGGGAGTGGCACCGTGGCCCCAGTGTGCAAACACAAGCATGCACACACTTGTGTGCGGTGATGTGCCGGGCGGTGAGAGGAGCGGGGCACGGGACTTCACGGAGGCCACGTACTGTCTCGCAGAGTGGACGCTTCCCCTGTGGCAGCCCTCCAAGACGCGTTTATCATCCCCGGCAGACGGGGCTGAACAGGTGTACAATTTTTCACTTAGGAAAGCGGCAGCAGAATGGGGAACTACCTCTAACACGGTTACCTCAAGCTGGGCCCACTGGCTAATCAGCCAATTCTTCTGTTCCCGAAATACCCAGCCCTCCCTCCCTCTTCTACCCCATACCAGGCACCCCGAACTCTCAGGGACAGACTCTCCTGTTCATCCTTGGTGGACGCAAGTCTCAAGCAGAGACTCATAGGCCCTTGCTGGGGACTGAAGCCGGTGAGCTCCAAGCAAGGATATCTCAGAGTGGGAAGGGGTGGTCTGGATCCTTCTCTGTGGCAGCCACAGCAGCTGCGCTCTGCCCTACATGCATACACACACAGAGAAGCGGCCTGCAGCTGCGAGCCAACCACCTCGTCCCCCGGACGTGGACTCAGAGGCTCAGAGGGGGAAGGGGCAGGGCCAGCCCCAGGAGCCAGGGCTCCCAGCTCGCCACCTGCACTGCCTTCCTGCGTTTCCGCTCTTAATCGGGCTAAAAGGAGGAGGGGAGACAGCTCGGGACTGCTGGCAGGTAGGAAGGGCCGGCTGGCGGTGGGCAGCTCTGCCTCCAGCAAGGGGGGATCCCTGAGAAAGAGGTGCAGCCTCCCGAGGCCTCGCCTCTGCTTCCCTGAATGAGGACAAGCACCTGGCGCGGCTGCTTCACAGGTTTCTCCCCAAGCGCCGACAGAGACCACCACGTACCTAACGGACACTGGAGAAGTCTATCGAGAGCACAGAGGCAGGAGATGGCAGAGGGCCGGGCTCTGCACCAGGCGCGCTGAGTCAGCGTGTGAGGGCGGG